GGTGTAGTCCCCACTGTGCTCGTTGGGAGAATCGACCGGCGCGTGCAGATGGTGGTCGGTACTGTACCATGCACCCGAAAACTCGTAACATTTTTGTGCTGCCCAATTTTCCTGTCCACAGCAGATGCGGTGATGCGTTGTTCGGAAGCGATGATGACGAGAGCAAGTTGTGCAGCATGACGGCGTGGTCCATTGCCTCGGGCCACTGGTGGTTGGGCAGATGCATGCCACGTAGCAGCTTGCGCATGGTGGCTTGAAGTGTCCTGTTCATCCGTTCTGCTACACCTTGCTGTTGATGGGCGTAGGGAAGAGAGGTGAGTCGCTTGATTCCCTTCTCTGCCAAGTAGTCCTTGAACCTCTGTGAGGTGTATTCTCCTCCCCCGTCTGACTGAAAGCTTTTCAGTTTTACGCCCGATTCTCTTTCTGCTGCAGGAAGCCACGCGACGAACGCTTCGAAGGCCATTTCGCGGCTTGGTAGGTTAAGATGCCAAACGTATCTGGTCGCGGCGTCGATGAAGGTAATCGTGTAGTTGCAGGTGTTTTGTCCGGGCTCGCGATTGTACAGGATGTCGCTGTACACCTTTTCGAGTGGTGCGTAAGCTGGTGCGCTTGGATTGTGGTGAGATGGAAACGGTTGTCGCGCTAAGTCTGCTTCGGGGCAGGTGAAGCATGTTCCTCGAGCTCGCTGAAGTTCTCTGCCGTCGGTCAGTAGGAGTGAGTCCTTGTCAAGAACTCCTGCTCTTATTGTGTTGTTTAACACCGTGTGACTCGGATGTCCCATCCTTGCGTGCCAGGTCCCTTCAGAGGCGCGGTGCCCGGGTGAGCGTCGGTACATGTCGGAGTTGGAGTAGAAGCCGGCGGTGAAGTTGGCGCTGCGGTGAACTTCTCGCGGCGTTGGTTGAAGCTGTTGTGCGGGTGTTGGTGGTGTATCATCGACGAAGGGTGGTGCTGTTGAAGGACCAGCGATGGGTGTTGATGTTCCTGCTGTTGCTGTCGTTGCTTCTGCTGCTGCCGATGTTGTTTCTGCTGCTCCCGATGTTGTCTCTGCTGCTGCCGATGTTGTTCCTGCTGCTGCCGATGTTGTCTCTGCTGCTGCCGATGTTGTCTCTGCTGCTGCCGATTGTTGAATTGTTGCTAATGCTCTTGTTCTCTCTGTTTCAGGAATGGTGTGTGAGAACCAGAAGCCGCCGGGACTGAAGTCTGGGTCAAGATCCGGAGGGTGTGTCCAGTTGGTGAAGTTGACGATGGCGTCACTGTCAGCGGTGCCGAGATCAGGAACGAAGTCCAAGACGAAGACGTTGTTCTTGAGGACCGCCTTCCCGATGTAGAGACCTCCTCTCCCGTGGTACAGCTTGAACTCCTGAGTTGTGCTGTCTGCTTCAAGATGAATACCCTTCGTCATCAACTGACTGACGCTCAGTAAGTTGTATCCGAGGCCTTCTGCGATTAGAACCTTGGACATATGTAGAATGACGTTTGTCTCTCGTGACTGAAGTTGTACTACGCCTTGTCGTCGTGTGCGCAGGTTTTGGTTGTTGGCGACGGTGATGACGACTTCTCGTTGAAGCTGGTACTCTCGTTGTACGAAGCGTCCTGAAGAACACATGTGCTGTCCGCAGCAACTGTCCAAGAACCACGTGTCCTTCCCGGATGGTTCGCTTTGGGCGATGGCGGCGTATGTCGGATTCGGCTGAAGTGCTTCGCGGCGGGGTGTAGCTTCGTCGAGTTGTTCTTCTGGTGAGTAGTACGGTGGTGATTCGCTGATGCAGGAGTCACTCATTCTTGCCATGCAGCTGACGATATTTCTTGCTCCTTGCGCAGGTTGTCCCGTTGAAGCTATTGAAGATTGAATCTGTGTCGTTGGATTCGCCTGTGTTGATGCGACTTGATTGCTTGAAGGTCGTAGCTGTCGCTGCGGAGTCGTTGACTGTTGACGATTTGGGCAATGCGTCCGTGGGTGCCCTGAAGTCTTGCAGATGTGACAGAAGGGAGGTACTGGCTTCGGTTGTTGCTGTCGATTGTTGTAGTTGTTGTGACGTCGTTGAGTGTGAAACGCGAACTCTGATGTTGTCGTCTTCTTTCTGTGTCGTTCTTCTTGCAGGTCCATGTCCTGCTGCTCGGCGTGGATTTCGGCGCAGAGTGCTGCTTCGGAGATTCTTCCGTGGGTTCGTAGGATGGCTTTTGTTGCGCGCCATTGAGGACCGAGGCCGCCGATGATGACTGTCACGAAGGCGTCTTCAGAGATTAAGCCTCCGCATCGAAGAAGCTTGTCGCGCAGCTCGCGACATCGACTGATATACGCCATTCCTTTCTCTCCTGGTTTCATTTCAACTGTTGTCAACTGCGCCATTAACCTGCTTTGGTTTACGCTGTCTGTTGCTTGATACAGGCTCTTCAGGTGGCTGTACGCGAGCTCAGCGGAGTTGCCATAACCCCGGTAAGAGCGTATGTTTTGCTGCTGAGTTGGTGTGACGTTCCTCAGCAGGATTGTATACGCCATCATCGATTGATACGTATACTGCTGTTTCTCATACTGTGTGCCGTTTGCTGGGTATTGCAGGGACCCGTCGAAGAAGCCGAGTATCTGCGCGCCTTCCATCATCAACTCGAACTCGAATGACCAGGTGAAGAAATCCTTTCCGTCGAAAGGTCTTGATGTCTGCAGCTTCAGAACGTGCGCGAACTGTGATTGCACTTGTAACGCGTCTAATGGTTTGTCTTGTCCAGGTGAAGGCTGCGGCATGAAGCTGATCGACCCGCGCTCGTACGGGGCGAAGGTAGGTTGCTGCTGTTGGTTTCCGCGTGCATATGACGACCCGTCGAGGCTCATGGGCGTCGCTCCGTTGTTGCTGTTGTGTGTCTGTGCAGGTCCCGATTGCTGGTGCTGCTCGTAGAAGGACATGAAGGAGAAGAATTTCTCCATCATGCTTTGGTCGAAGTCCGCAGGGTGGTTTGTGGGGGTCTCGGTTGACGTTCCCCTTGGTCTTGTTGCCGTGCCCTCCTCTGTCTGCAGGCCAGAGGCAGGAGGTGGAGTAGGAGTAGTACCCGGGGAGCCGTTAGAGGAGCTCCTTTCCTTGTTTGTTGCCATGCCTTGTAATGCTTTTGACTTGGAAGTGATAGAGTTTCCCCTGTGAGCTCTCATACCATGTTGGGTTGAGAAAAGCCCTTAGGATCTTTTCAGGGAAGAACTCTGGGTAAAACAATGTTGTAATAGCGGAAGCTTAATGAAGAGATTGTGAACCACCTTGCGCTGGTGTGTGAGGGCAAAGTAGATTGATTATAGCAAGAAGGTACAAGATTATATAATAATGAAAGGATACAGTTATAACTACTTTTGCTGTTGCGGTTCGATACAGTACGACTCGGGCAACTGCTCTGTAACGAGTCAGTTGTGTGTCCTTAACTGTCGCGCTGTACTTGTCAGGTCAAAGGTCGCTTGACCTTTGACTTTCGCGTAACCTCCAGCAACCTCTCAACCTCCGAGGGTTGACTCGCGGGTGCTTCGGTATGATTTGCCTCGCTTCAGGTGCGGTGTTTCGACATGACAGAAGCGCTTATGATTCATTGTTTCCAACATTTGTAAACTGTTTTTGAAGCTTGGCCTTTGTCCTGTTTCATCAATATTCACGTTTGGATTTCAGTACTTTATGAATGTATACTAAATTTTATTTTATGTTTTTTATATATTGATGATAATGCACTCTTACTTTATTAACCTCATCCTTATTCCCACGGTTCTGAAATTTCATACCACAGAGGTCAAATATCTGGAAGAGAAATAATGAAGGGTAAATGGTTGATCTAAATTAGTATTATTATCATCTATCATTAATACTGGTGATTACTTTGAGGATGTATTTAAAATTAACACCAAAAGCTCAGGCTGTAGATGTTGATTTATGCACCCAGAGCCTCCGAACAAAGAAAGTGCTTTGGAGCAACCTCGAAAGTTCCGATAGCGTGCGAGGTCGTCCAGCGACACATTTCTTGCGGAGCAAGCTTGATGCGAAGAAACCCAGTGGCCTCTGCGACTCAAACGAGTCACATGCGACCGAAACGACTTCCTTGCGACAGAACAGTAACAGTACACTGCCCGACACGGATCGTCGGTGGTGTCAACAACCAACAACCCCCAATCATCTCAGCGCTACGCACTTCACGCTGCAGATCACCACTAAACATCCGCCATGTGGCAGAAGTTACTCCTGGTCGTGCTTTCTCCGACATTTGATTTAGGCGCGGGTACAATTTTCCCAGATGCGGTTCGCAACCAATTTATAGATGCGCGGTTCGAGCAGATTCTGTTCCAGGAGCACCGCACGCGATTTATCTGAAATTGGCTCGAGCCCGCCCCATCGTTTCAGGCACCGCAGCAGCACCATCATCTGGACAATTTCACAGCAAGAGCCAAAAACAGCGCTCATATCCATCCCCCACGCACGGCCCTCGGCGTGCGTTGCTCGTCGTGCCATTTCGGACCTGGCCTGACATTAGGGCGACCCAGCGCCCCTCCTTGACCCACCACACTGCTCTGCTCACCTAACTCTCTTGCGCTCATGCGCTGTCGGGCCGCGAATCAACTGTACTCGGTTTATGGTCAGCTTCCTAGCTGGCAACCGTAACTGTCACGTCAGCTTCCCATCAGGCAAATCCCCCAAGTCCAGCCTCGCTCATCGTTCCCCTTTCCCTTCTCTACCCAAACACGACTGTCGGTGCTATTTAATCGGACACATTTCACTCCTCCCGTTCACAATGACCGATTTCCGTTTTCTAATGACGACCTCTCTCAACTGCTTGCACGCATGACAGGAGCAACCGACATAGACCAGTCGGCCTTCTCTTTAGAATCTAACCGACAGCAAAGAATAAGAACTCCCTAGACTCCAAAAGGGGCAGTCGTTCAAAGACTGGAGCCGCACAAATCGTCTATTCGAGCCTAGAAAGACCCCAGACAAGAAGACTCGCGGCCCACCTGTCAACCTTCGACATTGCTTGCCGCCATGTACGGCTCGGCTGCTTGTCACTCGCTAGACCCCATGGCGACAGCGCCACCGTCGAAGCCGCAGTACCACCAAATAGTTCACGAGAGCGCCGTTCCGTTTGAATCACAGCAGCAGCTACCACCCTCCTTCCTCACGCCGGTAGATACAAACGAGTATCGCGTACAGTCAACTATCTGCCCTTCGGTACAATCACACACGTGCCCATCGCTGCAGCCGCCCCATCCATTAGTCAGCTCCTCTCCACTTCCCCCGCTTCCGCCGTTCTCCCCGCAGCCGCACATCACGCCCCCCACTCCGCCGCAACCCCCGCGCCCATACTGCTTTGCGCAGACGCCGTCCCCGGTCCCGCGCCTTGGCTCGCCCGCACACCCGTTTCTCTCCCAGAGCGCCCCCCATTTCCAACCCGCGCTGCTCCCGCAGAACGCGCTGCTCTCGCGCTTCTCCCCCGCTCCCCCGCCGCCTGCCAGCCCGCAGCCGTTCCACTCGCAGTTAGACTCGACTCAGCGGTCGCCGCAGCTGTCCCACTCTGCGCTCAGTTCCGCGCAGCAATCGCCGCAGCTGTTCCGCGCGGCTTCCGAATCGGCCCCGCAATCACCGCAGCCGTTTCTCGTGGCGGGGCGAGTGCAGAAGACTCTTCAGGAGATGATTGGCGGTGAAAGTACAGCCGTCACACCGCAGCTTGCGCCGCAGGGTGCGCCCACCGCGGGGCCCGCGGGCGCCATGACCCCGGTGCTGCTGCCCGCTTCCGCCATCGGCGGAAACACAGGCGCAGCCGCTGGCGCAACTGTTTGCGGACGGATCGGCGGATGGAGGAGCCCGAAGAAGGTGCGGGGAGAGGAGGCGCAAGTGCAGCGGAAGCGCAAGGCGAAGGCGCCGGGAAGCCAGCCGCCGCCTCCCCCGACTGCGGCGGATGGCTCCCCCGTGCCCGCGTACCGCGGAGTGCGCTACCGGCCGTGGGGGAGATGGGCGGCGGAAATCCGGGATGCGGGGGGGAAGGGGCGCGTGTGGCTGGGGACGTTTGACTCTCCGGAAGCGGCGGCACGCGCGTATGACGCGGCTGCGCGGGAGATCCGAGGGGCCAAAGCGCTGCTGAACTTCCCTGATGACGTGGACGAACCGAAACCGGACACGTGTCAGGCCGCGGAGGCTGTGGAAGCGGAGGCGGGAGCGGAAGCGGAAGGAGAGGCGGGAGGCGAGGCGGAAGGGGAGGCGGAGGATGAGTCGATGGCGGAGAGGGAGGAGGAAGAGGAGAACGCGGGGAGCGGCGGAGAGGAGGGCGACGGCGAGGGGGAGGCGGAAGGAGCGAGGGCGCTGAAGCGTCTGAAGAGGAGCGAGGAAGCAGCGGAGCACGAGACAGCGCAGCACGCAGCGCAGCACACAGCGCAACCCACGGCACAGCCCACAGCTCAAGACGGACAGCAAGAGATCGATGGCGGGCGAGCCGCTGTCGACTTGCTGTGCTGCGAGCCGCCGCTCGTGCCGGCGGAACCACGCGCTGTGACGTCAGCACTGCCGTCTCCGCCGGCTGATTCAACTGCAGCAGCTGCAACCGACGGCGCAGATGCCGCTACATCAACGGCTACGATTAAGAATCCTACAGCTACAGCTATACGCGCGGAGGAGCGGGTCCCAGGGATCGCAGCTCTGCCCACCACCCCTGCTGCTGCTACAGCTGCTACAGCTGGCGCTACAGCCGCAGGGGTTGTGGCCAGTGGTGCACCTTTGCACGGGGCCGCATCCGTACCCGCTACAAACACATGCGTTGGAGTCACTCAAGACGGCAAAGAGTACCTAGCAGTCAATACATCTGTTTTGTTTTCCTCTCCGGCACCAGGGTCTACACACAAGTCTCTGGCATTGGCCAGCAGTGCTGCTTGTGTTGCCACTGGTATTGGCGCTGGTGTTGGGGTATCAAGTGTTGCAACGCCACCCACGCTTTTTCAAGGTGCTTCTGATGCTGCTGGTCCTGCGGGTACTACTGGTGTTGCTGCTGCTGGCGCTCCTGGCATGGACAGCAGCGGGTGCACGAGCAGTGCTGCTTGCGCTATTCTAGGCAGCGAGCCGGTCGTTCCTGCCGGTCACATGAACACCGTGCAGGAGATGAGGCTGGTGCAACCGACGCAGCAGATGCCACAAACGCCACAGGTGCAGTTCCAGGAGACTGCAGCACAGCAACAACTGCAACAGCAGCAGCCATTGCTGCTCGCACCGATGCTTCTGCAGATGCCAGCACAGCAACAGCAGCCACAAGTGCCTGAGCAACAGTCTCCGCTTTACCAGCAGGAGCAGCAACAGCAGCAGCCCTCCCTGCTGCAGCAGGCTCAGTGTTATGAGCAGCAGGCGGCACGTGAGGTGCAATGCTGGCGAGGTGGAATGCAGACCTTCCCTTCTCCGAGTGACGTTTATGGTAACACGGACGGCAGAGGCAGCACAAGCTGCCTCGCCCCGCCTGCCATCGCCGCCAATATGCTTGAAATGAATGTCATCTACACAGCGGCGAGTGGCGATGTGCCAGCTCATCAAGAAGTTCTGCCAGGTCAGCGAGGGTCTTTTCCAGATCAGCAGGAGAATCTCCCGGAAGAGCAGGGAGTGTTGCCGGCAGCAGGGAGCGGAGGGCGCGCAGTGGAGTTACCGCATATGTTCTGCGATCTCGTGCCAGATGCACATGCTCTGCAAGGAGGCAACATGCAGCAGCAATTCAACATGCAAGCTGCTGCTGCCCCTCTGCTTGCCAATGCCCCTACCCCACTGGCGGAGTTTCCAGCTGCAACGGCATGCATGGACGCGTACACAGCACTCCCAGCTGTCGCTGATGACGGCGATGCCTTTGATGCCGTCGCTGCTTTCCTCGGCCCCGATGTCTCCCCTCCGCCTCCTCCTCCCGTCGCCTTTTCCTCCTTTGAGCACGATAACCTTGCTGCTGCTGTTGCTGGTGGTGCTGCCCGCATGGGTACTGCTCCGTATGGTGCTGCTTTCAGTGGTGCTGGCAGCAGGAGCATCACTGCCAGTCGGAGCATGAGCATGAGCATGAGCAGTGCAGTGAGCTGGATTGCAGCTGAGCTGGAGAGTGCTTTGGACATGCAGGAGACGGTGGGAGATCTGTGGGGGGAGGAGGGGGTGGATGATAGCACAGGCATCTGGAGCAGCAGCGTGGGAGGGGTGGGCGGCGAGGGGGGAGAGGGAGGAGGGGAAGGGAGCTTGGGAATGGGGGGAATGGATATGGGAATGGGTAGAGTAGGGTATGGAGCGGTGGGGAGGAGGGAGAGTGACATGGGCTCGACGTTCCAGGTGGTGCGGAGGGAGAGTGACATTGCAGCATCATTCCTTGTCAGTGCCAGAGGGGAAGCACGGCAGCAGGGGATTCGGGAGGAAAGTGAGGGTGGTGATGCTGCGATTGGGGGTGCTGCGGGGGATCTCAACAGTGGCAGCAAAAAAAAAACGCCAATAATCGTTGACATCCAGCAGCAGGAGCAGCAGCCGGATGACAGCGATACACTAACAGCTAACACTGGTAATTATTATGGTAACCGGTATGGTGATGTCGATTACTGCACCAGTGGAGATAATTGCCAGAGTGGAGACTGTGAGGGAGGGGCATACTTGAGCAGATTTACTGTGCAACAGAAGTTTCATGGTAATGGCTATGTTCCAACCCTGGTGCCTTCTCTGAGTGGAGACTGCGATACTTACGTAGACACGGAAGCTATGACGTGAGTGGAAACTGCTATGAATAGACTTACGATGTACTAGATTGCATTCTGTTTACACCAGACAGTTTTCAACTTTGTTATATAGCTTATTCCTTGTGGGTAGCATTCTGTTGTTGTATGGTTGGGAGGATAGCAGCAGTCCTACCACCTACGGTAATCCAAGCTTGTGTTAGCTGGCAATATCACAGTATGAGACTCGTTCTTTCTGGCCTTGGTCATCCTTACTGTTTATTTTCCTTGGGTATGTTGATGGACGGGCATGACCTAGCTGCTTCGGATATGCGATTGGGGGAATTGGTCTTTATATACTAGATTTTAGAGCTCCAAAAGGTCGATGGTTTGGTGGAAGTCTGAAAAACTGGTAAAAGCGGTAGGTTGAGCAAACATAACCCCACATGTAAGCAGAACGTCCCTATTCCTCGGCAGTGTCACGTGAAATCAAGCTCAGAATGTCTTGCCTCTTCTTCTCTATGTTCTCGTAGCTGTATTTCTCATTCATTCGCAGCAACAGGTTGTGGTTGATCATCACCCTCACAAGTAGCTCTTTTGCTTCTTCATGCTTCCGCTGCAGCATCCTGTACACCTGCACATAAGGTGAATTAAGAAATTCAGTCCATCCAGTCAAATTGACAAACTCGTACCACATCAGCTTACCTGATCAAGCTCATCAACTCCTGTTGCCTCTCCTTCAAACTCTTTGCTCAACTCTCCAATTCCTTTGTTCTGGATTTCCGTTAGCTGTCTGCTGCCAGCTTGCATAACCACCATCCCCATGTTCTGCACATCATCTTGCCCCTGCAAATGCAATCAATAGAACCAGCAATGGAAAGGGCTTGCCAATGATTTATGTGCATCAAACTATGCTCACCTTAGCCGCTATTTCAGCAGCAGAAAACGATAAAGTCATGTCACCGTTGTCTTGCTTTTCTTCAGCTGGTTCTATAAGAAGAATTTCTTGTGCGTCAGGCTTGGATACATCCGTCACGTCCTTGCTGAGCGAAGTGCTGTTATCCCTGTGACCCATAGTGGAGAATCAAAATCAAATCTGAAAATTGGTCCCTGGCATGTGGCAACCCATACCATAGTTCTTACAGTGCAGATGCAGATTGTTGCCCGAAAACAAATGTGTTATTCAGCTGTGATTCCAAAGCTGAGGGCTTAGCTGATGTGCCTGGCGAGGCTTCATCAACTCGGAGGTCAGCCACCCGAGGCTGAACTGACGTTGCCACAGTAGGTTTGCTGGAAATAGAAGGCAACTTTCGCAAACTGCTGATCCTGTTTCCCACAGCTCCATTCTCAGTTGTAGTTTTTCCCTGGCAAAATAGGCGGTTGGTGCTTGTTGATACCTAGCATTGGATCAAATGCCATAACAAGAGAAATATTAGAATAACCATTTTGAAACATGTTGAAGATCATGCAAAGGCCTACCTTCAAAGTTTGATTTGCAGGTCTAGCTGATTCTCCTCCAGGCTTGATGCTGGCGCGCAATGCAAGGGAAAGTGGCTTCACAGAACTCTTTTCTTGGATGGAGCTGCTGATGGATCTCTGCTTTCCCGCTGGTTGACGGCCCAGACTCATTGAGCTGGGTTCTTTGGGAGCGTTTCGACTGAGCGGCAAGCTTGTAGATTTGTTCAAGCTCGTGAGGGAGGAGATGCGGGCGGGCATAGGCTTTCCAACACCAGGTGTCTGTCCAAGAGAACTCGCTGTTGGCAATGTGGACTGTGGACCTCTTGCTTTAAACATGGAAGCAGCTGGAACTGCTGATTCCGCTCGAACTTCCCCAAGTAGCTTGACACTCGTGTTAGCCAATCGAGCTGACTGTCCAGTTAAATTCATGCTCATTCTTGTCTGAGTCAACGACGCCTTTGATATCCCTCTGCAGTAAAAACGAAATCAATACAACTCCAAACGAATCGAGGTCGAAATGAGATGTTGCAGCATACCTTTTGCCGGGATCCGATGCAGCAGATGGCTTATTGAGTTCAAGCATGCTTTTACTTGCCATCAACACTTCAGAATGATTATCATTTGGTGCTTGAGAATTGGCAATTCTGCGAGAAGAACTTGGAAAGTTAACAAATGTTTAAAGTAACACATGACCATATAGGTGTAAGGTGCTTACAGTTGTTCAGGTTTCTTGGTCGCCTGTGGGTCAGCAGGTTTTGAGAACTCCAGAAGTTCAGCAGGCTTGGAAGACTCCAGAGGTTCAGCAGGGCTGGCTAGAGGTCCAACAGGCTTGGCAGACTCCAAACGTTCAGCAGGCTTGGAAGTCTCCAGGGGTTCAGCAGGCTTAGGGGACTCCAGCGGTTCATCAGACTCAGAGGACTCCAGCGGCTCAACAGGCTTGGAAGATTGCAGCGGTTCTGTAGTCTCAAAGGGCTCCAGCGGTTCATCCTGCTGAACGTCTAGACTCGTCTGACTCTTTGCTGGGTTAGGAGACACATTTGAAGTCTTTCCTGGGCTGTTTCGAGCAGTTGGCTCGTTGTCAGTATTGTTGACTTCTCTCGGACATTGGATCTCGGATTCATTTAGCTGTGGAATGTCTTGACTCAACGCTTTAGCATCTTGAGTTGGCTCTTCCGTATGTTTTTCATTTTCAGGTAACCCAGAAGTTTCGCAATCTCCAAACTCAGTTTCACATTCGCCTTTCTCTTCATCATTCATGGATGACGCGAGCGAAAGACCTTGGTCAAGCTTTGGCCTGAAAGATAACAGCGATGTTAGGCAATGCATAACTCATGAGAGACGGTGATTATGTATTACCTCGTATTTGCCGGTTCAGCTTTTGGAGAGTCTGAATTCGTATCGGCGAAATCGAGGTCACTCATGGAAATGTCAAACTTACTAAAACCGCTATCAAGGTCAAAGTCCACCCTGAACATCGCAAATAAACAGAGTTGAAAGATAAGTAATAAAAAAAGCCAGAGTCTGGCATCACATATCGTATCTTACAGGCTGTTGAAATTGATTAGTTTCTTTGTATTTTCCCCCGCTTTACTAGGTTTGTCACTCGCTTTCCAGTCAGAAAACATGTCGTCAGCTGCGGCAATGGTGGTCAAACGTCAACAAAGTATTACTAATAAATGGATTCAAACAATCCTTACGCGAAGCTGACCTGCACCAGCTGCTAACGAAGTCGATGGCTGTGGTGTGCGAGTCCCAAACATCTCGAAGCCATCAGACTTCGCCGGTCCAAGCAAGTCATCGAGCGTGAAAGACATGTCGAAGTGCTGTGTGATTGCGGTGATGAGAAGTGAGATGATCTCAAATGACCTGGAGGGGAAATGAGAGGAAATTTATGGCAGCAAAAATGGGGTTGCTGTAGCCGCTTCCAGGTTACGGAGTTCTCCCCTGCGACCTTCCGCTCAACATTGCTGTCGCGAAACAATATCGCGAAATATTTCCGAATTGCATACCTCCGATGCCGACCATGTCTTTCGCAAACGACTCATTTGAACGCATACTGTCGCTACCCCCTTCTGATTCCCCCGAATGACTTCAGCAAGTGCAGTGCTACTACCGCCAAAACGTATGTAACCGAGACTTACCTCTTTGTAACTTCATGGGACATTGGACGATTCACCACTACACCTTATCACCGATAATATCATGCCCTTCAACGACATTCAGAGACACCCCGCACCATTTCACCCAGAAGCAGACTTCGCATATTCGGATCAAGCAGATGTACCAGTTCTGAGATTATGAGCTAGGAGCCTTAGACTCAGCCGCCATCGGCAATGACATCATCGATTCCTAATAACGCCGCTGCGACTGCTCTCCGCTCCCTCCTCGATTTCGGCAACTCGCTTCTCTCGGAGCTCCTGCGTTTCCGCGCCAACCTACCGCGAGACTTCCTCCGTTCAATCACACTCCCTGCACCACCACCTCCATCGACATCTTCTCAGCTCAATCCCGTGCAAATCCCCTCGCCGTCTCCCGATCTGCCATTCCCGCTATGGGACTTCGAGTACCTGCGCGCGCCAGACGACCGCGAGCGCGAGCTCCGGGAGCGGCCGAACGAGTGGAGCGCGGAGCGCGCGTGGTGGACGGCGCACGGCGAGCAGCTGGTGGGGTTCGTGCTGCTGCTGGCGGCCGCGCTGAAGCTCTACCGCGCGCTGAGGCAGACGATCGAAGGGCTGCGGCGTGGCTTGTTCCTGGGGAGCTCGCTGGAAGGCGTGGTGGGGGGAGATGAGGGCGACGAGATGCAGTCGCTGCTGCTGCAGGTAATGACGTCGATCGCATGGGTGGAAAGGAGGGGGATGCTGATCTTCGTCCTGTTCCTGTGCATGCTCACAAAACATTTTCAATTTGTAATCGCATAACTTGTTAGTTGCTTATTGTTTTCCTACTTTGGACTCTTATCCTACAGGTGCTTCACACTCACGCGCTTCTGCTTCTCCTCCTCCACCATCTCTTCCCTAACCAATACGCGAGCGCCTACTCATCGCTGCGTACCGTCACTGGTGCCGAACCTCCGGGCCAGGCTCGGGGGAGGCCCTGGGTGAGATTTTGACTAGCGACTTTGACGACCTATGCCAGCTGTGCCGAACCACAGGATCAGGGTCGGGGGAACCGGAGGCCCACAAGGGGTCTGTAGTAGGACAAGCAACGGGCAAGAAAGTGGGGAGCAACGTGGGTGCAGGCAGCAGCAGTGCCAGCAGTGATACCGACGCCTTCCTTTGGTCTCCATTCCCAAGAGAGTGCTTCGACATTGAAAAGCTGGGCCTCGTTTTAGGCTTGGACTCAGGTTCGGGCTCAGGCCTGGGATCAGGTTTGGGGTCAGAGGGGTCTGGTCTGGACATTGGAGGGGCGGAGACAGCAGCGTTTCTGTCGCTGCCGTGTGTGATAGCGCCCACGGACACTCGCAGCCTGGAGCAGCTCTTCTCCCGCTTTGCCCCCCCGCCTGATGTCACATGGATGGCCATCCAGGCCCTGCTGCGGAAACAAGCTGCTGCCGTCGACTCCTCGCCTGCTGCTTCCTCCACTTTCGATCCAGCCTCTTCGGTTCTCCTGTCTTCCTCCTCCTCGTCTGCTCTGCCTACTCCCACGTTCTCCTCATTCCCTTCAACGCAAGCCCCCTCGCAGGCAGGAGCAACAGGAGCAGGGGGAGCAGCAGGAGCAGCGGCATCAGGAACACCACGTGACACTCTCTCCGCAGTGGCAGCAGTGACAGCCTCACTGCCCTCCACCTCGTCCATCATCCTGCTGCTCTTCTTCCACACCTCCTCTCTCCGCGGCGACCTGCCCTTCATGCACGAGCTCGTCCATCGCAGGCTGCTCGCCCTGCCCCCCTCCTCCCCCTCCTCTTCCTCATCCGCGCCGCCTGCTGCTGCTGTTGCCACTGCTGCTGCTGGTGGCGGCTGGAGCCTCTGGAAGCAGCGAGCACCGCCACAGCAGCAGCACGGAGGAAGCGGCGGTGATGGTGGTAGAGGAGGAGGGGCAGGAGGAGCAGGCGCAGTCACAGCAGCAGGAGGAAGAAGACCCGATGACCCAGGTGCAGGAGGGGCAGCAGCAGCAGCAGGGGCAGCAGCAGTGGGCGGGTTGACATGGGTGGTGCCCATATTCCTCGGCTTCTCTCTGGACCTCTCCATAGCCTGGCAGCACTTCCCTGCCGCAAACTCAGCTCTCGCCCTGCACCTCTCCCCAACCTCCGCGCTGCACGTGGCTCAGGCGCTGGTGCAGGTGCTGCCAGGGGTGCAGCAGGCAGTGGGCAGAGCCATGGGTCGGCTGAAGCAGCAAGGGGCGGCGGGATGGGAGGAGGAGCTGAGGGGTGGTAAGCATGTGGGCAGTGGGGTTGGTTTGTCCGGTAAAGTGGTCGCTGCTGGCTCTGCTGCTACTCAAAAAAGCAGCAGCGCCAGCACCAGCAGCACTGCTAGCACCACTAGCAGCGGCAGCACCAGCAGTGGTACAGATCTCAAGTCTGATTCATCACATTCGTCGTCCTGCTCCGTGCCTGGCCTGGCAGTGCTGCGCAGTGCACGGGAGATCCTCTCCCTCATCCGCCACACAGCCGCGCTCCTCAGGTGGCTGCTGCAGCACCGCGCCTCCCTCGCTTTGCACCTTTCCCTGCCTATCATCCTCACCACCCACCGCCTTGCTCGCTCAGCCCAACAACACGCACACACCCGTGCTCGCACTGCTGCTGCCGCTGGCCTGTCATCCCCTGGCTGGTCGGAGGCAAGCCAGGTGGCTGCTGAGGTAGCTGCGGACTTGCTCTTGCCGGAAGTAACAGGTGGGGTGGCTGTGGGCTCGGTACAGCAAGGCAGATCTGGCAGCAATGACAGCAGCAGCGGCAGTGGCAGCAGGAACAGCTGGTTTGGTGGCTGGAGCAAACGAGCACCCCCACCAGCCTCCACCGCTACCACCATCGCCCCTCAGCCTCCTCCCATCCCCCCTCCCGCTGACCACGACCCACTCTTCACTCTCCTTCTTTCGTTCGCCGAGCTCCAATCAGAGGCCGCCACGTGTCTCTCCGCCATCATTGCCCGCAGAGAGGACAGCTGGCACCGCCTGAGGCAGGCGGCGTGCGCACGGCTGGACGGCCTGGCTCGGCTGTTTGTGGCGGGGCAGGGTGTGGAGGGAGAGGGGAGAGGCGCAGCAGGGAGTGGGGGCAGAGGGGGAGTTGAGAGTGGGAGCAGGGGAGGGGATAGGCGAGGGGTGGGAGATGGTGGGGAGGCGATGGCGGGCATGGGGTGGAAGGATGGGGCGGATGGGAGCATTGGGGAGTGGTTTCAGCGACTGTCGTGGCAGGTGAGGGCAAGTGAGAGGGAACGTGAGGGGGCAGGTGAGGGCAAGTGAGAGAGGGCAAGTGAGAGGGAACGTGAGGGGGCAGGTGAGGGCAGGTGAGGGCAGGTGAGGGCAAGTGAGAGGGAACGTGAGGGGGCAGGTGAGGGAACGTTGAGGGATCAGGTGAGGGAACGTGAGGGGGCAGGTGAGGGCAGGTGAGGGCAGGTGAGGGCAGGTGAGGGCAGGTGAGGGCAGGTGAGGGCAGGTGAGGGCAGGTGAGGGCAAGTGAGAGCAGTTAAGCTTATCTCTCGCCCCTCTCCACTTGTGCCTGCAATCCCCTTGCTTCTCACGCACTTCCAGCCACCTCTTCTTCTTGCCACAGGTACTTCAGTGGCACATCTCCCCATCCCTTTTCCTCCCGCTCTCCTCATTCCTCCGATCTTCTTCCCTACCTTATTGCTCCTTGTGTGTGTGTCTACAGGTGTCGCACTGGCAGCACCCAGACGCCCCTTCAACGCCAGCCAGCCTGCAGCAGCTCTCCCTCGCCCTCGCAGACGCTGCCTCCCTGCACCACATTCAGTCGCACCCCCTCGCCGGCCAATCGCTGCACGCCACCTGTCGCCTGCTACAGGACATGGCTCTCGTGCAGGCCATTCGAGCCGACCACCTTGCGGCGCTCGCTGCTGCTGCCGAGCCTGGGTTCCTCTGGGCGCTGCTGCCGAGCCTGCTGCCGTGGCTGCAGGCGCGGGTGAGGCTGCAGCCAGAGTGCCTGGGGCAGATGGGGTGCTTGCTGGTGTTGATTCGGTCAGGAGTTGATGGCACTGCTGTCTCTTTGAGTGTTGCCTCTGGTGGTGCAAGAAAGCATACTCATGCTGGTGCTCGTACCAGTGCTGATGGTAGTGGCGGCGGCGGTGAGAGTGGGGCACGAGCAGGACGAGCATCAACAGCTGTACGACAGAGAGGTGTTGCAGGCATTGCAGCAGCAGGAGCAGGAGCAGCAGGAGCAGGAGCAGGAGGGAGTGGGGAGTATCTGGAGGGGCACCTGCGGTGTGTGTCACGGGCAGTGGTGGCAGTGGTGCCAGCCAGTGTGCTCAGCCTCATGCACGCATGCACCCTCACCCTCCTCCCATCACCCACCCATGGCCCCACCACTACTCATACTCCTTACTCAGAAAGGGCAGCTGGAGAGGGGTTAGCAACCAGGCAGGGTGGGCAGGGAGGGCAGGGGGTGCATGGTGAGGGGGTCGAGGGGCAGGGTGTGGGGAGCAAGGCGGAGGTTGCAGCGCGGGTGCATGGGCAGGCGGCGTTTCGGCAGGCCATGGGTCGAGCACGGGCTGCTGTGGCAGGGTTCTCTCAAGGTGTGGCTGCGTTTGAGGCCAAGGGGCTGCCGATAGGCAGGGATGAGGGGGGCGCTGGAAGGAGAGGCATCACTGCTTCTGCTGCTGCCAGTGCTGCCACCGCTACTGCTTCTGCTGCTGCTGCTCGTGCTGGTGCTTCTGGTGAAGCTGATGGTGCAGCTGCTGTCGTTTCCGGTGCCACCAGCGGTTCTGTTCCCACTAACCATCCTCCAGTTGGCACTTCTCGTGATTCCAGTGACACTGGTGCGTCTGGTGGTAGTGGCACGAGGAGCAGGGACGAGTGGGCAGGGGGGGCGTGCCATGCCGTGGTGGTGGCGCTGCGTCTCATGCTCAGGCGCTATGCATCCTCCATTCTGCAAGCCGGCTTCTCTGAAGCACTTAAAGCCCTGCAGGGCGCAGGGCAGGGTCAGAGGGGGGTGGAGGGGAAGGCGGATGGGGGAAAGGGCAGTGGGTGGGCGGGGATTTGGTCTTGGGGGGCTAAGGGAGGGGGTGTGGATGGAGAGGGGGATGAGGGGAAAGGGGTGGGGGAGGAAGGGGGAGGTGGTGGGGAGAGGAGGAGAAGGGAGGGGTTTGAGAGGCGGGTGCTGCAGATGGAGAGGGAGTTGGGTGCATGGGAGTACTGCACGTGCCTGTTTGAAGATGTGCTTGTAACGAGCACCAGAGGGAGTGAACGGTGGAGTGGGGGTAAAGGAGGAGCAGGAGGAGGAGGTAGGGGAGGTGTTTCAAAATCTGTGTACTCACCTTCCTCTCCCTCACTCCTCTGGCGCACTGCCGTGCAGCCCCTGCTTCTGCAGGCCCTGCAGCAAGCGTGTGGGGAGACAGAGAGAAGAAGCACAAGCAGACAAAAGTCACACCCTTCCACCTCTGCCAACAGCGGAACCTTCTTGGAAGCTGCGGTTTCATCAATTCTTCTCCTCTCGCACCCCTCCCACGCCATGTTCCTCCCTCCTTTAGCCGCATGGTTCCTCCCCTCCGGCCTGCCCTCCCTCTCCCTCCCCCTCATCCTCCGCCTCGCGTCCTGCCTCTCTGCCTCTGGCCGCATTCCCACCACCCCTGCCATCATCCCTGCTGGTTCTGCGTCTGGCATGGGCCATACTGCCTCTAGTATCGCCCATACCGCCTCTGCTCCTCCCCATGCGGCCTTGGCAGGTAGTGTTGCCGGTCTGACGGCTGGTAGCAGTAGGGGAGGGGCAGCAGGAGCAGGAGAAGAAGGGCCAGGCTTTGCACGAATGGCAGAGGGGCTTGTGGCTCTGGACTGGGCGCTGAGGAGAGCAGAGGAGGAGCGAGTGATGCGGGCTGTGGAAGTGGTGGGTGTGATGACGAGGGAGAGGAGGCTGGTGCTGCTGCAGCTGGCAAAGGAGATGAGAGGAGGAGGGCAATGTCGTGAGCAGGAAGAGGAGGAGGTGGTGGTGGGAGGAGAGCAGCGGCGGCAAGTGCGGAAGACTGGAGGTGGAGGAGGAGAGGGTGAGGCAGCAGTAGCAGCACTGGTAGGGAAAGCAGCGAGGTCTGCAGTTGCCATGGGGCGGCACGTCTTGGCAGCATATGGTCGAGCAGAGGTCGGACTGACCCAACCGGTGGCAGGGGAGGTGGGGGGAGGAGGGCATGTGGGAGGAGGGCAGGGGAGCGGCAGCACAGCAAGCAGGGGTGGGGTGGGAGGCGGAGGAAAGGCTAGTGTTTTGAAGGCGGGAGCAGCAGCAGGTGAACCCGTGTCCGTGGGAGGCAGGGCGGCTGCGACTGCTTCTTCCTCGGTGAAACGAGGACCTGCTTTGGTAAACAGTGGTTCTTCTGAAGATCTTGGAGATTTCAATGGGATGGTGACAGGTGTCGCGAGGGCACTGGCGGAGGTGGGTCAGGTGCGGCTGGTGCGGGGGCTGGTGCGCATGGCTGCATGCGCTGCCACGGGGTGTGAAACCCCCGCCGCTGCCCGCACTGTGGAGTGCCTGCTGGCCTCCCTGCACCCACACACTTCTTCTCGTGCTCACACTGCTGCACGGAACGCTGAGGTTAGTGCTGCTACTGTAGTTACTAGTAGTCTTTCAGCTGATGCTGCTGCTGCGAGCACCAGTACCACCAGCAGCAGCAACAGCAGCAGCAGCGGCTGTGCTCTGACAGTGCAGCTGCTCGTCCTCGTCTCCCTCTCCCACCTCCGCCTCCTCCTCCTAGACCCCTCCCTTGCTTGCCTCTCCCGTCGCACACGCAGTGCCAGTGCATTTGATGCCAGCTGTCTGGTGGCCGGCATCTGCTGTCTCTTGTCGACACTGCCGAATCCTAGAGAGCAGATTGCGTTGTATGAGCGGTGGATGGAGGATTATAGGGATGTTGAGGTGGTGGTCGGTGGGCTTGGGAGTGGTTTGGAGGATAGTAAGGTGCATATGGGAGGCATTAGAAAAAAGGCCGAGCAAGGATCAAGTGCTGTTCCGGGTAGGGCGCTGAGTGGATTGGTCGAGGCATGGCTGGCTCAGTTTAGAAACTTACTATCTCAATGTGAGTTCTGTAATTAGAAGTTTTAACCACCTGTATTGTATCTACCGGTGTTTCCGAGTTGCTACATCGCGGATGCTGTTGCGAAGGTCAATGGCCGCGTTGCGGAGATTCGAGAGAGAACCAAAATTCCCGAGAGCAGCCCGATTTCCCCAGTGAAGAGAGCGGGGCTCGCTGTGCTGCTGCTGACCACGAAAACGGCCCAGAGACTGGAATCCGCAGCGCAACTTTTTTATGTCCATGTCAGCAGCATTTAGCCACCATCACACCACCACGTCGACTAGTCAACACATTCGCGGTGCATCACTCCTCAAAGATCTAAAGCGCCAGGGGCATCCACGTCCCTCGCAATGAATAGGCGTACCAGGTAAAGCCACGTAGGAGATCTCCAGCAAAGGTTTCCAAAAACCTAGATTACGTGCAGTGCGCTTCGGTGAAAGCGAACGAACAACCCCCACACACCACCACGGGACAGGTCACGCGAACATTGAATACCAAACTTGGCGCGCCTCGCCTGGCGTCCTCATTTCCTCATTCTTGGATCTTACAAATTCACTTCTCCATTTTCGATTTTTCATTCGAATTTGACTACCAACTCGCTCAAGCTCAACAACAGCTTTCTAGCACCTCTCGCCCTCTGCTCGACCAATCCGCCTCAAACCGCCAGCCATGGCCTCCGCGCTCGCTGCTCGTCAGGTCCTCTCAGGCCTCTCCTTCAGCTCTGCAGTCAGAGGCACCGAGCTCGCCACCCGCAGCCTCCCCGCGGTTCCCCAACTAGCAGCTCCCCGCGGCCTAGGCGTCACCGCGCTCTTCAGCTCGCGCAAAGCCGCCGTCCCCGTTAAGAGCATCCCCGCGACGAAGCTGCGCACGGAGGACGGCATCTTCGGCACGTCGGGCGGGTTCGGGCTCACCAAGGCGAACGAGCTGTTCGTGGGGCGCGTGGCCATGCTGGGCTTCGCGGCGTCGCTGCTGGGCGAGGCGATCACGGGCGTGGGGATCCTCTCGCAGCTCAATATCGAAACGGGTATCCCTATAACGGAGACGGAGCCGCTGCTGCTCTTCTTCATCGCCTTCACCGTGCTCGGCGCCATCGGCGGGCTGGGCGACCGCGGGCGATTCGTGGACGACGAGCCGGTGGGGCCGCCCGTGAAGCCCGGCGGCATCAAGGCGGCGCTGGGGTTGAAGGAGGACGGGCCGCTCTTCGGGTTTACCAAGGCGAATGAGCTGTTCGTGGGGCGGCTGGCGCAATTAGGGTTTGCGGCGAGCCTGATTGGCGAGGTGATCACGGGCAAGGGCTCGCTGGCGCAGCTCAACTTCGAAATTGGCGTGCCCGTGTGGGAGCTCGAGCCGCTGCTGCTCGCCAGCATCGCCTTCTTCTTCGTCGCCGCCATCAACCCCGGTACAGGGAAATTCATTAACGACGACGAGTAAGGCGGATCTTGTTGTGAATCCAATGTACATATTTTTTGTGTACCTAGCAATACAATTGCAAATAATGAAACACAAGGCTTTCATTTCGTTCTATTCCCTATGCTGTGCAAATGAACCCCGTCCAGAACATAGAACATGAAGGACCTGAAATATCCAGGTGAACCGCAATCTCACTCGCTTTCACCATCCCACACCCCATTTCCACTCACATCCTCACTGTCCCTTATCGTCTTCCCCTATCAACCAGTCTTCTTTTGACCGTTCCCACTCTCGAAATTAAGCTACAAGTGATAAGAGAGGCATTCGCCATAGCCCATCCAGACATGCGCGCACTTGGTTGGTACAGCCATATGAATAGAAGATTCTGCTTTGATTGCTACCATAGCACCGTGACTTCAGCAGTTGTGTTGACAATTATCGACGGCGCCCAATATGCTCTTCACACTGCAGCAATGAGGAGCGACATCATCCGTAGGAGAAAAGTCTAAAAACAACTACCGTATGTGATGTGAGGTGGTTCTGCTGTGAACATTTACAGGTGAAGTGCACAGTAGCACAGGACAAACTAAATCATCACTAATAAGGACACAAACAAAACTGGATAAATTGGCCGAAACCTGTCATGAAATATACAAGCAGCATTGAATTGACTGATTCACACAAAAGGTGCCATGAGTACCGCGTGACAGCAGAAGGGACAACTGACTCAGCCGACGTGTTGGGAGTATAGCTCCTGTATCTGCCACAGCCACCGTAGAGGATGCAGCACGATGTAGCACAGTGTTGAGAAAAATGTGATGAACCCACACCATTAGAAAGAATAGTCAGTGGTCCAGGGGAGAGGAAGTGAGAGAAGTGGTGAGAAAGGTGTGTCTAGTACCCACATGTAAGAGTGAATGTGGCACATATCTGTGAGAGTGTGTGGCATGTACCTCTGAGAGTGAGTGTGGCACATACATGTGAGAGTGAGTGCTGCACGTACATGTGAGAGTGAGTGTTAGTGGAGCTGTGAAATGGGAGTGTCAGCTGGGCGCTGCACTGGCCTCCAGATGAGCCACCTGTTGCAGTGAGACACGGAGCAAGAGCAGAGGTTGGGGAACATGAAGGACACTCCAGTCAAGGTAGGGAGGAAGGGAAGTTTCTTCGACAAACGGGGTGAGCAATGAAGGCAGCGCAAGTGCGTTCTCTTCTCCCCCTCGTAGCGCTTCCGTGAACCCAGGTGGAAACACCACTTGAGTGCCTTGACTTCACATGCCAGCGACACCGGAAAAGTTTTTTGCTTTGTTCAGCTTTTAACCCAATGCACCTTGGCGATGAGGTGCGCGATCTCCCCCTCGTAGCGCTTGCGTGACTCCAGCAGCTGCACCAGCGCCGCCTCCATCCACACCTTCTCCGCTTGCACCTGGGGGCAATGGCAGGTGGAGATGGGATGAGAGCGGTGAGATGTGAATGGGTTCAGACGTGGGGAGCGGGGTAGTTGTGAGGGGCGGGGGGAGAGATGAGATGTGCGGATCGGAGGAGGGGTGAGATAGGAGGGGCCAGGTCAGGGCTGAGATGTGAAGGCCGGGGGAGGGATGAGTGGTGTGCAGGTGAAAGGATGACATGTCGTATGGCTGGCAATGAAGCGGGGGGTGGGGATGCAGTGAGGGGTGGGGATGCAGTGAGGGGTGGGGATGCAGTGAGGGGTGGGGATGCAGTGAGGGGTGGGGATGCAGTGAGGGGTGGGGATGCAGTGAGGGGTGGGGATGAGTTACGAGAAGAAAAACTGCAATGCCGAGAAGAGAAGTTGCAGGAGGTAAGGAGAAACGGCATGGTTGTAGGAAGTTACATGCGGGCAAGGCTGCATGCACCACGGCGCTCACCTGCTCCAGTGCTGCCGACCGCTGCCTCTCCTCCTCCAGCTTCTTGCGCATCTCCGCATGCTCCTGATGGCGCCATGGCAAGGTGGCATTGTGGGGTGGTGGTGTGATGGTTTGATGGCATACGATTTAAGAGCATCGCAAATAACGCGATCACGGATGGTGGCATGCATATTAAACAGTGATTGCACACAAGGGCAGAATGGCATGGGGGAAATGCATGCATATGGTGCCACTCCAATACTCTGCTTCTTCCATCCCATCCCATCTCATCGCATCCCATCCCATCCCAGTTCTCATCCAATGACATGCCATGCCTTGGCCACCCCTTCCCCATACCACACCATCCCAGTCCATCCCAGCCAATCCCATTCCACTCCACTCCACCCCTCCCCTCTCACCCGCCGCATGCTCTCCACCCACGCGCCGTCCACCATCCACTTCTGCTGCCGCCGCACCCCTCCCCACCCGCCGCCTCCCACGGGCGTGGGCTGTGGCGGTCCGGCGGGGGGGCCGCCCCAGTAGGAGCCCATTGAGCCCATCGAGGCCGCGGAGAGCGAACGGCTGGGGGAAAGGGGAGAAGGAAGACAAGGGGGAGAGAAGGGGGTGGGGAAGAGAGGTGAGCCATAAGTGACTCGAAAGTCGTTTCAGTAGGACTGGCCGTGGAAGCCGCCGAGAGCGAGGGACTGGGGGGAGGGGGGAGAGAAGGTGACCCATGAGTCGACTGAAAAGGGCCCCCTGTAGAGGCTCATGGAGGCATGGAGGCATGGGAAGAGAGCGAGTGGGGGGGGCAGGGGGAGGAGGGGAGGCGATGGAGTGAGATGAACTCTGAAGAGTGGTGGGCACGATAAACGGAAGGCAACCACGAAATTAACCCTCCCTTTTCCCGGCTCCTCCCTCCCCTATCGACTAGATTATCCCTTTACCCTTCCCTCTCCACTATACCCTCCCTTCCTCTCCCCCCTCTATCGTCTCTTATCGCCTATACCCTTCCCTCCATCCTTTACCATCCCTCTCCCTTTCAACCTCCCCTCACCTCCCCCTTTTGTTCCCCCTCCGCTCCTCACCTGTCGGCCTCAGCGCTCATCACAGCGCCACCAGCACCAGGAGCAGCCACAATCGCCAGCGCCCCCACTGCCCCTGCGCCCCCTGGCGCGCCCTTGCCCGCCCCATCCCCCCCCTGGCCTGCCAGCACTGCTGCCTGCGCGCCTGCCTCCCGGGCCCGCTGTGCCAGCGCTGCCATCTCCCCGCTGTGCTGGGAAAACGCTCGCGCTGCTGCTGCTGTGTCTTGCGGGGAGCTGAGGGGGTAAGGGGAAGGGGAGGGGGTGAGGACACATACACAAGGGCAAGCAGCGAGAATGGCTGTGAGCAGCACGCCCTGCCAGGGGTATAGCCACGGCGCTCCTGATGATGCTGCGTCGTGGGAGGGGAAAGATGAGGTGGAAAGATGGGAGGGCGGTTGCTGGGAGTGGGAAACGGCAAGAGGGAATGGGATACGAGCGAGGAAGGCCGACGAGGAAGGGAGGGCCACTCACGCACCCACACCCGTGGAGCGAGAAGAAGGAAGTGAGCGGGCACCCAAGCTCCCATCCCTGCCATGCACTCACGTTGCACTCACGCCATACATACCCACCCAACCCCTCCCTTCCACAACTCACCTACAACCCCACTCCACCCATCCCAACCGCTCTCACCCGTCGGCGCCAGCCATGAGAGTGGCGAGAGCAGCATCCCTGGCAGCCCTGAGGTGACTTTTGAGTCCACTCAAACCCCATCCCACCCATCCCAACCGCTCTCACCCGTCGGCGCCAGCCATGAGAGTGGCGAGAGCAGCGTCCCTGGCAGCCCTGAGGTGACTTTTGAGTCCACTCAAACCCCATCCCACCCATCCCAACCGCTCTCACCCGTCGGCGCCAGCCATGAGAGTGGCGAGAGCAGCGTCCCTGGCAGCCCTGAGGTGACTTTTGAGTCCACTCAAACCCCATCCCACCCATCCCAACCGCTCTCACCCGTCGGCGCCAGCCATGAGAGTGGCGAGAGCAGCGTCCCTGGCAGCCCTGAGGTGACTTTTGAGTCCACTCAAACCCCATCCCACCCATCCCAGCCGCTCTCACCCGTCGGCGCCAGCCATGAGAGTGGCGAGAGCAGCGTCCCTGGCAGCCCTGAGGTGACTTTTGAGTCCACTCAAACCCCATCTCACCCATCCCAACCGCTCTCACCCGTCGGCGCCAGCCATGAGAGTGGCGAGAGCAGCGTCCCTGGCAGCCCTGAGGTGACTTTTGAGTCCACTCAAACCCCATCCCACCCATCCCAACCGCTCTCACCCGTCGGCGCCAGCCATGAGAGTGGCGAGAGCAGCGTCCCTGGCAGCCCTGAGGTGACTTTTGAGTCCACTCAAACCCCATCCCACCCATCCCAGCCGCTCTCACCCGTCGGCGCCAGCCATGAGAGTGGCGAGAGCAGCGTCCCTGGCAGCCCTGAGGTGACTTTTGAGTCCACTCAAACCCCATCCCACCCATCCCAACCGCTCTCACCCGTCGGCGCCAGCCATGAGAGTGGCGAGAGCAGCGTCCCTGGCAGCCCTGAGGTGACTTTTGAGTCCACTCAAACCCCATCCCAACCATCCCAACCGCTCTCACCCGTCGGCGCCAGCCATGAGAGTGGCGAGAGCAGCGTCCCTGGCAGCCCTGAGGTGACTTCTGAGTCCACTCAAACCCCATCCCACCCATCCCAACCGTTCTCACCCATCGGCACCGGCCATGAGAGTGGCGAGAGCAGCGTCCCTGGCAGCCCTGAGGTGACTTTTGAGTCCACTCAAACCCCATCCCACCCATCCCAACCGCTCTCACCCGTCGGCGCCAGCCATGAGAGTGGCGAGAGCAGCGTCCCTGGCAGCCCTGAGGTGACTTTTGAGTCCACTCAAACCCCATCCCACCCATCCCAACCGCTCTCACCCGTCGGCGCCAGCCATGAGAGTGGCGAGAGCAGCGTCCCTGGCAGCCCTGAGGTGACTTTTGAGTCCACTCAAACCCCATCCCACCCATCCCAACCGCTCTCACCCGTCGGCGCCAGCCATGAGAGTGGCGAGAGCAGCGTCCCTGGCAGCCCTGAGGTGACTTTTGAGTCCACTCAAACCCCATC